GCAGGGCAACGATCACAACCGATGCCAGCCTGGTAGGATGGGGAACTCACTTCCAATCCCACACTGCACAGGGAAGTTGGACTATTTCCGAACAATCACAAAGCATCAACCTGTTGGAGTTGCGAGCAGTTCATCTGGCGTTATGCAGTTTTCTACCCCTTTTCCAATCATGCCACGTTCTGGTCTTGACAGACAATATCACAACCAAGGCCCACGTAAACAGACAGGGGAGTACCCACTCCAAACTTCTGATGCTGGAGACGGCCAGGTTGTTCAAGTGGGCCGAGGCCAATCTGTTTTCGCTCATGGCAGAGCACAAAGCAGGGGCCTTAAACACACAAGCGGACTGGCTCAGCAGGGCCACAGCAGATCAGACAGAGTGGCGCCTACACCCGTCTTTCTTCCAGGAAGCAGTGCGGAGGTTTGGGCAATCGGTGATCAATCTATTTGCCTCTCCCCTCAACGCCCAATTGCCCCAGTATATTTCAAGGTACCCGACTCAGGGGGCGGAGGCCGTCAAGGCCCTGCGATGTTAGTGGCCTCCCGGACTTCTATATGCATTTCCTCCACTCCCTGTAATACCCAGGTTGATCCAGAAGTTATTGGAGGAACGAGCGGAATTGATATTGGTCGCCCCTTACTGGCCCAGGTGAACGTGGTTCGCGGACTTACAGGACCTGTCGAGAGAATTGGAAAATTCCACTGTCGAGGGTTTCCCTCTCGCAAGGGCCGGTACTTCACCCGGACCCACAATGGCTCAGCCTAGCCATATGGAGGTTGAACGGAGCCGTTTTAAGGACCCAACAGATTTCAGAGGATGCCATTGCCACCATACAAGCATCCAGATGGTCCTCAACAATATATACGAGGCCACGTGGTGCGCTTTCTGTCGCTGGTGCCAGGGGTCTAAGATCGACCCAACCGCCTCATCAATAGGACAATTATTGGACTTTTTACAGGAGGGCTTGACCAAGGGCCTATTTCCAAATACTTTACGCAGACAGGTGGCGGCCTTAGCCTTGGTGATATCCTGGGGTGACCTTCGTTCCATAGCGCACCATCCACATATCCACAGCTTTCTTAAGGGTGCTGCAAACTTACAACCTCCTGTAATTCACCGCTATCCCACTTGGGAGCTCAACAAGGTGTTAACCGCACTTACAGCTGGCCCGTTCGAGCCTTTAAGAACCACTTGTCTCAAATTCCTGACATATAAGGTGGTCCTCTTAATTGCGATCACATCAGCAAGGAGGATCTCTGAATTGGCAGCATTGTCAATGAGAAAGGACCTGTGCGTGTTTCATGCGGACAGAGTGGTTCTCAGATTGGATCCATCGTTCACCCCTAAAGTAAATTCAGTCTTCCACAGAGCGCAGGAGTTGGTGCTTCCAAACTTTTGTCCGAAACCATCTCATAGACTGGAGCATCAATGGCATCGACTTGACATTCGAAGGGCGTTAAGCATCTATCTAGACTGCATGGCGGCATTTAGAAAATCTGAGGCTCTATTCCTATCCTTCAACCCATCCACTTTAGGACACAAGGTGTCGTCGACAACCATTGGTAGATGGTTGAGAGCCACCATAACTAAAAGTTACGAATGCCAGTCCATCTCAGTTCCTAAGGGCATTACAGCCCACTCAACAAGGAGTGCAGCAACATCAGCAGCATGGGCCACACGGGCTTCCATAGACGAAATTTGCAGAGCGGCAACTTGGGCTTCACCATCGCCCTTTGTCAGAAATTATAAAATTGATGTCTATGCCTCAGCGGACGCTTCATTTAGCAGAAGAGTCCTGCAGAGGTCCACAGAGTTTAGGAGTGGATTTCGATCCAGACAGAGTCCCTCCCTAAGGACAGGCCAAGCTTTGGTATGTCCCACTTCTGGATGCTCTGAACAGCTCATGGGAGAAAGGGCATTGGTACTTACCTGATACGCCTGTTCTCTGTGAGCTGTGAAGAGCATCCAGCCTGACCCATTTCTTTCCCTCTGGTGGGGTTCCGTTCCGGTCAGGGATCTAGATTAGATGATGAGTTCCGGACTTTGGCACTCAGTTTTCGCATAACTGGGGGATGCTGGGGAGGTGTCCCGTGGAGGAGGAGGAGCATCCCGGAGTTTTAAGCCCAGCCTTTCCAGAAGAGATTGAAGCACCTCCCACTTCTGGATGCTCTTCACAGCTCACAGAGAACGGGCGTATCAGGTAAGTACCAACGCCCTTTTTGATATGTGAGAGACATCATAATTACCAACAACGGATAATGATTACAAAGTAACACCCATATATACTATTCTCTATTTTTCTGTAAAATATAATGAAATTATAATTTGAAATATAATTTTAATTTTATAATTAAATAATAATCTTAATCTTAATATTATTATTTTTAAGGTGAGAGGGACTCAAAAGCAAAAGTTCTTAGGGCCCACCAAAGTTATAATGCTGTCCTGTAGATTCTTTGCAGAGGCACAAAGAAATAGTCACAATTAAAATCAGGATTCTTAGCAGTACTTTTCTCATGATTTGGGGATTGGCTAATTGCTAAGTATTATTTCCTCAGCAGCGAGAACTTTGAAAATGTCAGTCTTCTGTTAAGTTAATTTATAGCTAGATTGTTTAACTGGCTTCTACTGGAAGATGGTTATAAGTACTAAAACCTATGGTTATAGGTTATAGTTTTTAAAAAAGTATATGCAAATTGAAGGGTGATCTAAAGGGATCTCTAAACTTCACCACAGATACAGGATTTAAACAGTTAGACCGTAATGTACAACTGCATAGCTCATGTAGAACATTCACCCGGACAGTGTCAGACTGGAGCTTTCTGTTTTGCAGAAGATGGCTGCTTTCTGGCTAGCCATACATTCATCTCTTTTAATGAGAGATCTGGTAATTTATTTCATGATATAAAGAAGAGTTCACAGTTTGCGCTTCCTGATAGAAATGCTTACATATATGTGTATTTATCCGGTCTGCCAGAGTAGACAGCTCTTTAGGAAAGTAATACTTGATCAGGAGGCAAGAAATATCAGGCATCATGATACAGTGACTTGGATAGTTTGGTCTTGGATAGGATGGTCTACAGCAACTTATAGTGACCTTCTTGCTATTAAATTGGTGTTGCTGTTATGTAACCTTGGTGTGTTGTAAAATTTAAGCATCCTCTTTAGCTCCTTATTTTTTGTCTACTTCTGAGCTATCCTGATGAACTTTACCACATGTTTTCTCTAAGTTCATGTGCTATAAATTGAATTGGCATGTCTTTGAAGTTGATCCCTGGGCAGATCAGCTTCAGAAAAAGAATAGTGCATATATTTCTGACAAATTTCTGAGATGCTTGGACCTAGAATCAACAATTTAATGGAAGTACTTATCCGTACTTAGTTCTTAAAAGCAGAATAATGTTAAAAAGAGCTTTGTTTAAAAAAAATTAACTCAGAAGATTCATGGAGAAATCACATTAATCTAAGAATTGGTTCTTACAATTGTTGGTAACCTGAAAAATATTGATTTATTTTAATAGAGCTAGGTTTTGTTTGGCTTTCTTGGTCTTGTTTTGGCAGTGTATGCACCAAAAAATTAACTGTTGTTGCTTTTTTCTCTCAACTTCATCGACTTTTTTTAATGAATCATAGAATCTGTTTCAGCAATGTGCTTTAGGCTACACTTTCTGTATGATTCTATTTTAAGAGCAGCTTAATTTCACACAAGATCTCATCCCCCCTTGATTATATTGAATACAATTATAGGAGATAACTTATTTTTCCCCCTGAAGCTGACACCATTGTCTTGGGGAGGGGAGAGAGGCTCTCCTAAGTAGGTTGCCCGTTTTCCTTTTTGTCTGCTCTTCTTTCCATGTACACATTTGCAATTGTTTGGCAGTAGTGATGTAGCTTTCAGGAGACTTAGAACTGTGTAATGGAATCAGTGGTGGTATTCTACCGGTTTGGCCCGGTTCTGCCGAGCTGGTAGCACCGATGAGCAGCAGAGACTGAACCGATTCTCTCCGCCACTCTGCTGTTGGGCCCAGCTCTCTGCCCGGGCTCCCATACTCACTTTTATCCCCTGCTTTTGAAGCGCAGCTGCTTTGCGTGGCCCAGCAGGGTGCTGCGCGGCAGCTGCTGAAGCGACCGGGAGAGTGCAGGCTTGTAGGAGGTGAATTGGAACGCCTCTGTGCCTGCGCAAACACCGCTGTGCCTGCGCAAAGTGCGTATTTGGTGCATGCACGCAAAATGTGGGCACGCGCGCAAAGCACACCCACCAAGCTACACCCACCAAACCAGTGGTAAAAAAATCTTTGAATCCCACCACTGAATAGAATGTGTGAATAACCTTGAAGGAACCAGGGGAAGAGATGCTGCCTAAGAGACAATCAGACGGGAGGAACCCTCAAGGACTAAATAACTAGAGAACAAGCAAACTTAGGCAGAACTGGCCCTAATTGATCACACATTTAAAAGTGGCAGGGGAAGTTTGTGCCTTCAGACTTGCAAGATTCTGTTAATGTAACCTTGCAATAAAGTAGAATTAGCTTATTTAGTTTTGTTTCCTTTCTGGTTTACCTGGAAGGCTGACAAACTGTTCTTGGTTTCCTCGGGATAAACAAAAAAAAAGAGATTCCAACAATGCAAATGTGAATGCGTGACCTCTACTTTACAAAGCTCAGGTGCAATTTTCCAGCTCTTGGCCTAATTGGCATGGGAGTAATAGAGGATAAATAGCATGTCCCGAATCTCTGCCCAGAGAGCTCATGTTACTGTTTTTAAAAAATGCTGGGCTAGGCACCTGCTTCTCTTTTATATGCAGAGGAGTGGCCAGCTGGCTACAAGTCTAACCTGGCCCGATGCCAAATGTCAGGAGAGTGGCTTAAAAGGTGTTTTTGTGTGAGAGTACATTACTAGAGAGAATGAATGAACTGCCATTCAATTTTGGGAGCTGGCTAAAAAGGAAGTGAAAAATATAATGCAGTAGAATTTCTCACCCAGTTTTCTTGTTTTCTAGGAAGAAGAGATGCCAGATGTAGAAATCGATATTGATGATCTTCTGGATGCTGCTAATGAAGAGGAGAGAGCCCTCAAATTACAAGTTAGTTTGATTTTTAAGAGATTTTGGGGGAATGGCACAAAATCCCATTTTAATTCAGACTATCTGTCTTCTAGAGCAGGGGTCTCCAACCTTGGCAACTTTAAGACTTGTGGACTTCAACTCCCAGAGTTCCTCAGCCAGTAAAGCTAGAACATCCTTTTAATGTTTGGAGAGCAGATTCATAAAGCATAATAAAGAAGGGTAAAATTAAGTCTGTCACAGCTATGCATTGTGATATGAGGATTAGCATTCCTGTGATTTGATGGCATACCTGAATGGTTTTCCGAGAATATGTCACTGTCTATCTGGCACTTTCTATTGGTCAGGAAAATAGTACACTTTAACATGGGGAGTGATTTACTTATCATACTTTTGCCATAATAATGAGTGACAAGGGAAAAACGTTACTAAAATATGGATCAAAGTATTAAGCTGACGGATGATTGATTTTCACACCCATGAGAGAAGCCTGTTTTGCATATGTTTCCCTTAGATAAGATTTGTGAGCTATCCAGAAATAACCAGTTCTTATCCGTGTAAAGGAGGAATGAAAGATAACTGATGCTTTTATTATTGTACTTCTAGGAAGCGCTTGTAGATTGCTACAAACCCACAGAGGTAAACAAATTTTATATTATTTTACATGTAAAAACTTGATATAGTCTTCTGTATAGGCAGCAGTTATATATATTCTGATCAACACAACAATCAAATAAATGATTACTTTCAGTGTTTATTATATGTAATTAAAAATAAAAAAATGCAACTCACACAGACTTATAGAGTTAATGTCAGATGTAGCATTGTTTGGTAGTGCTTATAAACTTCATTTATTTTAATTCTTTGGATTGGAAAAGTACTTCATCATCTTGAGGGGAAAAAAACACATAGATATATTTAAATGCAAGTTCATACAACCTTTAGAGATGTATGACAGTATTTTCCTGCCATTAAAAAAAAGAACTGTTAATGGCTGCCACAAAGAATGCAATCAATTCACCTATGTTGGCTATTCCTAGAGTTTGACCTTAAAAATTATTTTTTAATTTTATAAAACTAGATTTTGCATTGCTGAATTAATGTATGTTAAAAATAAGTACCAGTCTTATGTCAGGTCCCATCCTTATTCTCTGCAAGAATGCTTTTACACAGTAGTTGAGTGATAATTGAAGTGTGCGTGACTATGGCAGCTGTATGAACAATAGGGATGACCTTGAAACAGTTGATATCTGCTGGTATAGAGATAGACATACACTACATCTCTCTGCCTCCTTCTCTCCCTCCCTGTTTAGTCGGGGCCTCCCCACTTAGAAAATATCATTGGACCATGGTTTACTTTTCAGTTCTTGAAAAAAAATAGCATGCCTACCATGTTTCTCCAACAATACGGCCTCCCCCAATAGGAAGTCCCAGCATGTTTTATAGGCATAAAATCAAATTAAGCCCCTCCCCCCCAAATTAAGGCCTATATTAAACATGCGAAATGGGGGGGTGGCGGGGGGGCTTGCCATTAGGAAGTACTTTTGTTGCATACCTGGATATGGTGCTGCCTGTGTTGACTTCAGCGTTGGTGGGGCACTTCGTATCAGGAGACCTTCTGCCACCGTTGCTTTCCCTTCTCCCTGTGCTGCTGCAGCGTTTAGAGCAACGCTGCGGTGTTTGGCACAGCCACGCGCAGCCACCCAGGGCTCCTCCCTGCAACCGGAGCCTGGTGGAGACACTCAGCTTCAGGCGCTCCTGTCGCCGCCTTCCCTTCGAAAGCAAAGCCAATTCTTTCAAAAACGATGCCCTACAACCGGTACAACAAAGCCTCCCCTGCCCGAGAGGGCAGCCCAATCCCACGTGGGGAGGCGAATCTTCCGGGGCCACAGCGCAGGATCGGCCCACCCCGGGAGAAACGCCCAGCTGCCGTCCCTGCCTGGTGCCAGGCAGAGCGTGAAGAGCTTCGCCTGGGGCATCCAGCGCAGCTGACAGGCGGGCCCTGCTGCCCGGCGGCGGAGCTCTCGCCAAGGCAGCGAATGCCTCCCCGCTGGGCCCTTTGCTCATCCCGCCAGGGCCGCGCCAGAGCCGGGCGGGCTGGGCAGAGCATGGAAAGCAAGCTGCGGGTATGCACCTGCCTGCCAAGCGAAAGAGCCGGGCCTACCCGAGCTTGGCTTCCTTCCCAAGTCCCTCCAGCCTGAACCTGAAGGGGCCTCCGGGAGAGGCCGCCCGAGGCAGTGATAGCGCCCACCTGTCTGCGGACAGGGAGGCGAGGCGACGCAACGGCAGCGCTGCTTCCCTGGCCGGCGGGTCCAGCGGAGAGAGCCTGAAGCTACCCGTCCTTTCCACCCCTCGCCCAGCCCGTCCCCGTCCCCATGCATCTCCAAATGCGCCGGCAGCTCCAAACGCTGCAGCGGCACAGGCATCAGGCAGAGGCGCTCACTCGGAGGAGGATGCGGCGCAGGCTGTCACTTCGCCTCCCTGTCTGCGGATGGGTGGGCACTATCACTGCCTCAGGTGGCCAACGCTGAAGTCAACATCCAAGCTGTCGTCGCCCGCCCGCCCGAGGATGCAAGAGGGGAATTAAGTCAACCCCGAAAAGACGGCCTAGCCATTTTTTGGGGGGTCAAAAAATGTTATACCATTTGTGAGAAACATGGTATCAAAATACCATAATCATTGGAAAGATTTGGTGGAAGAAATTTAATCCCTGATTCAATAGATTGTTATTCTGTTCTGTCAGAAACAAAATTTAGAAAGTTCAACTATAGGAATATAATGCACAGAATCACCCCACAGCTTTATTTCTATATTACCATCTGGAAAATACAAATTATTAGAGGTAATTCAATTGTGTTTTCAGCATCTATGCTGTAATTTATTCTGTCAAAAATTTGTTTAAATTCTTTTTAGGTATTGTTAGCTGTATTTGCGAGATGTGTGGCTAAATACATTAAATAAATAAACAAACAAATGTGCTATTTTTAAAAAGATATATACCGCCATGTTTGTGTTCCTGACAACAAGCCTGATGTTCTCATACTACGTATTGTCACTTGTGGTTTCTGAATTCAGAGAAGAAAAAACTTACAGGAAATTTGCATTGATGTAAACAACTGCTTATGTCCTGTAAACCCATGTGGCAGAATATGGGAAGTTTGTCATCCTCCCTCCCCCAAAGTTCCTAAGAACTAAATCTTCTGAAGATTTTATAGGCAGTAATTTTTGTCAGAAGAAGCACAGTAGCAATAGTCTTAGTTGTGGTGATGGTAGCATATTTTGAATATCTTTGCCTGTTAATCTTGAGGCAAAACTCCTTCCATAATAATAGTCCATAGTTCAGCTTTTGGGCAGCTTATGTAACAACACTGATATTTTGAAGAGATCTGATACATTCTGCATTTGGACATGATGTGGGCTACAAGCTTATTTTTAAATCTTTAGCGAAATGTTACAATAGCAAGAGCAATAGGCAGGATTTTATACCACTCCATAATCCTTTACAGCATGCTCTGAATGGTTAACAAAGTCAGCATATTGCTTCCAATTTAGACTTATATACCGGTCCATAATGCTTTATAGTATGTATAATGCTGAACAGTTTACAGAATCAGCATATTGGCCCCAACAATCTGGGTGCTCATTTTACTGACCTTGGAAGGATACAAGGACGAGTCAACCTTGAGCTGGTCAGGATCAAATTGCTGGCAGTGGAATGCAGAGTCAACTTGCAGTACTGCATTCTAACCACTGTACCACCACAGCTCTCTGTTACACGCAATCTTCCCCACCTGGTGCTGTCTATATGGTATATGCCATTTTTCATTACTTTTGAATTGTAAACTAATACATCTGCAGGGCACCATTTAGGGAAAACTAAGGTTAAGTCTCCTTTGATATGAATTCAACCCTGGTGACTTAGGAAAGCTAAGGTAGGCAATAAGAGTGGATCAAAGCTCTGATACACTGCATAAGGCAACTCTCTAAGATTAGTGATTTAAATGTGTTGTACCATTGCTTGTAGCATCAGTGCAAAGCATTTGGATATCTTTCGTGGCTGTTTAGACACCAGCTTTACACCTTGCCAAACAAACACCCTGCTGTTGGATTGTTTTTCCATGGCTTTCATTATATCCCTAGCTTTTTAACATGCAGGATATTCTCTCTTTATTTCTGTTGTTCACATGCATTGGATTTATGCTCTACAAGTAGTGAATGCTGCATTTTTTTTTATTTTTGGACGTAGGGATGCCTTATCTTAAGAGTAAGCTTGGTGGGTGCCAACAATTAAAAATAGTTTCTGTCCCCGTAACCTAAGCCTTGAGGAGGATATTCTTTGCAAACCAGTTGTACACAGTATTTCCTCCAAATGAGGAAATGGCAAAATAAAAGCCCAGTCGCAGACCAAAAAGACAATGTTGCGACAATTTGTGTTTTGCTCTAAAAAGTATGTATAATTGTACCTTTTATTGGGCACTTGGGAGTCTCAAGCCACTGGCACTTTCAAATAGCTTTATTGCCTGGAAAGATAAGCTCCTGGCATCAGAAGCCTCTAGGAAATGTTTGGCTATTATAACTAATGAGTGCCTTTATGCTATTAATAAATACTTAGTTCCATTTTCCAGATAGCATCCTAAAATAGAGTTATGCTTAGTGTGAAATTTCAGTGATGGTGTTTTAAGGAAAGTGCCATTAATATTTGAGCAGAAAATGTTTGTTTAGTGCCTTCTGATTTATTCAGATGAAACCTAGGATTGGGGAAATCAGTTCTTTATTACGAGAATCAATGCACAGGTTTTTAAAATACATTACCACAGTGCCTAGTTGGCTAAAAAATAGGAAGTAGGTTCAGATGTCAAAATTTCATGTTTCTTCAAAAATTACCAACTTGCTCAGATTTTTTTGCCTTTCCATAGCCCTGTCTAAAATTAAGCTTGGCCCTCAGTTAGCAAAGTTAGACCTAATTAGATTAAGTGACCTTGTTGAGTCTTCAGAAGCTACCGGAAGGAAACAATTGATTTCATCTCAACATACCTCTCTATATACAGTATGTGCTAGAAACAATGCAGCCTTAATGTCTGTGGAGATTCTCAGTCATTCAGGTCATAGCTATTTCAAAGGTGCTTCCCTGCCACCCCCCACCCCCGAAAAAAAAAGACAACTGGACTGTTTTTTTAGGAAGAAGAAGAAGAAGACATATCATTTCTCATCAAAGATGCTTCATCAGCTGAACTGATGAATGACACAAGTTCAGTTGCCCTTTTGGAAAAAAGCACTTTGGAGACAAAGTAATCTTAAAAAAAAGGATTGACATGAACTCCAATCTTCTAAACGAGAACGTCACTCCAACCATTCCTGCATGCTCCCTAGCACTGGAAAGAATTCTCTAGGCCAGGAGTGTCAAACTCGCGACAACATGTGTTGTCTGTAGTGTGATTGTGATGTGGTGTTTGGGGCACTGTGCTGGAGTAGCTTTCAAATTTCATCGTATTTGTAGAATGCAATGACAATAAAGGTATTCTATTGTCATGTGACATATCACAACTTTTTCCCCCTTTGCTAAAATGGTGATGGGCGTGGCCAGCAAGTGACACATCCGGCCTGCAGGCCGCGAGCTTGACATGCCTGCTCTAGGCCCTTTCTTTGGTGCAGACCGCTGTATTGTCATTGAGGGATTGGAAAGCCAGTTCATAAGCCAAAGACTGTCAATGAAACCCTTATGAGCAAATGATATGGATGCCCTTCTCACAGAAAGCAACTCTGAGTGGCATACAACAGGTCCAGGTTTATGCATAAAAACATATTGTTTTGACATTAGTCAAGTTGTCAAATACAGAAGCAGGTACATAATAAAGACCAGTTAACCCTAGATAAGTCAGTCATATGTTTGGTCCTTCACTGAGGTGTCACATGGAACATAAAGCACAGGAAAATAACACTTTAAAAGGTTTCAAGAAGATGACTGTATCATCCTCCCTCTCCCTCTGTACATTTCATCTGGAAATGAAGTGGCAAAACCTCAAAAAAAAAAACACCAAGAATTCATTGTGAAGCTACTATACCTTATAATGGCATACAGGTAGCCCTTGATTTATGACTACAATTGAACCCAAATTTTCCATTGCTAAGCAAGGCAGTTTTTAAGTGAGTTTTACCCCATATTATGACTTTTCTTGCCAAAGTTATTAAGTGTTTCACTTCAATTGTTAAATTAGTAACATGGTTCTTAAGTGAATCTGGCTTCTCCATTGAATTTGCTTGTCAAACGGTCACAAAAGGTAATTGCATGACCCTGAGACACTGCAACCATAATAAATTAGAGGCCAGTTGTCAAATGTCCAAATTTTGATCACGTGGCTGAGGGGATGCTGTAATACTTATAAGTGTGAAAAACACTGGTAAATCATTTTTTTCAGTATCATTGTAACTTTGAACAGTCACTAAACAAATGGCTGTAAATTAAGGATTTACTTGGAGAAGATCAAGACAATTAGCCAAAAAATACATTATCCACATAGTAGTTATGAGTCAAGATTCAATATGACAATAGCTGAATTAAGTGGCATTTAAAACACTGAAGAAACTCAAACATTTCTGTTGATCCCCATCAAATTCAAAAGGAAATATACATAGGCTAAGCAGCATGAATGTGCAAGACTAATTTAGCAGAACATAAGAATGAATTTTAAAAATCGATGTACCCCTCACCCCAGAAAGTGGAATTACTGAAATTTGCATGAGGAATGGCTGCACTCCACACTGGGAAAACACGAAGTCATAGCCCTTGTAGACAAAAAAATGCAAAGCAAGTTCCAAAAAGCAAATAAAAAGGACCACTTCCACGATCAATTTACTGTTGACTATTATTTTGTACCTGGATGATGATAATTGACTGATTGTCAAAATGTTGCATTTTGTTTATTAGTGTCCTGCAAAACAATGACTTTTATGAGACTGAAAACGATCAACCAAGCAAATTTCCACTTGAGATCTTGTAAAATCTTAAATGATAACGTAAAAGCATTCTGAAATGGAATGTTTTTTGTCATGTTTTGGTCATATATTCGCTTAATTTTAATTTGTCCATACTAAAAACTTTACACTGTATCCTTATTTTTGGAATCCAGGTTAAGAACCATTTTAATCGATTTTGTATCTGATGAATTATGTTTCATGGACCAGAGTCTATTTTTGTATTTGCTGAAAAGAATTAAGAATTTTTATTCATTTGAGCAGATCTACCTTTTAGCAAGAATGGAGAGGACATGCTGAATGGAGATTAAACTGATAAGGCGAGTAGTCTTTTAGAAGTTTGCAGGAAAAAAAATATTGCCCTTTGCTACGATGGTAGCAACCGCCCTCTGCAACTGAATGAAGCAAGTTCATTAGAATGGTAGAAAGCTTCTTTAGAGCCTCACACTTTATATGGGCTCCTTCTGCCATAGAATCCTGGCAATGGCTTTAGTTCTTTAGAATTCAGAAGTGGTGATTTGATTGGCTGTATCTTGATTTAGGAGCACTTTCATGTAGGAGGTTTGAAGAGAATTGGTCTCATTCAAGACAACAACGAATCCGCATACAGACGGAAGGTTGTACAACTTGCCTCATGGTGTAACCGGAACAATCTGGAACTGAACACACTCAAAACCATAGAAATAATGGTAGACTTTAGAAGAAACCCTCCCATGCTACCACCTCTTACAATACTAGACAACACAGTATCAACAGTAAAGACCTTCAAATTTCTATGTTCTACTGTATCACATGACCTAAAATTGACACCTAACACCAAAAACGTCATCAAAAAAGCACAACAAAGAATGTTCTTTCTGCAACAACTCAGAAAGCTGAAACTGCCCAAGGAGCTGCTGATCCAGTTCTACAGAGGAATTATTGAGTCTGTCATCTGCACCTCTATAACTGTCTGGTTTGGTTCTGCAAGCCAACAGGACAGACACAGACTTCAGAGGATAATTAGGACTGCAGAAAAAACAATTACTACCCACCTGCCTTCAATCGAGGACCTGTATACTGCACAAGTCAAAAAGAGGGCTGTGAAAATATTTACAGACCCCTCACATCCCGGACATAAACTGTTCCAACTCCTACCCTCAAAGTGACTCTATAGAGCACTGCACACCAGAACAACTAGACACAAGAACAGTTTTTCCCCAAAAACTCTGCTAAACAAATAATTTCCTCAACACTGTCCAACTATTTACAAAGTCTGCACTACTATTACTATTAATCTTCTCATCACTCCTTATCACCCTTCCCCTCCCTCTTGTAACTGTATGACTGTCTCTTGTATTCTTACAATTTATATGGACTGTTTCCTAGTATGATTTGATTGCTTATTGTACCCTATGACTATTATTAAGTGTTGTACCTTATGATTCTTGAGTTTTGACGAATGTATCAGAGAGCATTTGCATCAAGACAAATTCCTTGTGTGTCCAATCACACTTGGCCAATAAAAGAATTCTAAGTCTAAGTCTAATGGAATGGCTAGCGCTCAATTTACAACAGTTCATTTATATACTGCTTCACAGTGCTTTACAGACCTGTCTAAGAGGTTTACAGAGTCAGCATATTGCCCCCAACATCTGGGTCCTCATTTTGCCAACCTCAAAAGGAAAGGCTTGAGTCAACCTTGAGCTTGTAAGAATCGAACTGCTGAACTGCAGTCAGTCAGCAGTCAGCAGAAGTAGCCTGCAGTACTGCATTCTAACCACTGTGCCACCAGGGCATTGAAACAAGTGACTGGTGACTGTTTTTCATACTTGTGACCGTGGCAGCATTCCTGTGGTCACATGAGCAAAATTCAGACACTTGGCAACTGACTCATATTTATGACGGTTGCGGTATCCCAGGTGGGTCATGCGATCTGCTTTGGTAATCTTCTGACAAGCAAAGTCAAATGGGAAAAGAAGACTCACTTGACAACTGTGTTAGTAACTTAACAACTGAAGTGATTCACTTAACAACCGTGACAAGAAAAGTCGTAAAATGAGGCAGAATTCGCTTAACAAATGTCTCACTTAGCCACAAAAATGTGCGGCTTAATTGTGATCGTAAGTCGAGGACTTCCTGTGTTTGATATGTAAGAACAGTGGAGGGTGAAGATGAGTTGCATCTTGAAGATACTTACTATTATTTTTAATCAGTGATTCCCCCCCCCCCCCCTTTTTTTTTTTTCCTTCTAGGATTTTATCAAAGAACTTCTAACTCGGATAAGAGGGATGAGGAAACTGAGCCCTCCTCAAAAGAAGAGTATATAAGTGAACACGGAGCCCTCTTGGGAGAAGTGATCAATAAACTGGAACTATTAAATAGGACACCTGCTAGTTTGATCGTTATGAGCAATTTTCTCTTTTTTGGTTGAATTCTGACATTTTAAAGAATCCAACCCCTTCTGTTTAAGGCAGTTTTTTCAAGTGTGATTTTATTTTATCACAGATAGCAACGTTATGGATGCTGCTTTTACTACCTGCGGATGATCAAGATAGAGGGGAAAACATCCATTTTAGAGGGACTTTCCTAGGCAGTAATTCTGCCTGAGGTAAAAGCTACTAGGGAAACGCTGTTCCTTTACAACCAGTTTGATCATTAAGTTGTACACCAGACTCATGGATGTTCAGGTTCTTGTGCTTGTGTACATAAATTATCAAGTGAGTGTTACTATTGATTCACATCGGTGGAAATGAAATGTGCTCTAAGTAACAATATAAACCGAAGTTATAACCAATGTGGTGTTGCGGGCAGGGAGGGGAGGGGAGAGGGATGCCGTTTATTCAATGGGGGTGCTGCCACTGTTAAAAGCATTGCAACAAATGCCTCTATTCACAAAGCAACACATAAGTAAACTGGGGTCCAAGGGCTTGAATTTTTTAGGTACTGTTACCAACTTTGAGGTTCAGCCAGATACAATCTCTCTTCATTTTATGATCTGCTAGGATTGATCAACCTACTGCTAAAAGGATCCAATAGGACAGCAAGAAAAAGGCCAATACCATTATGGGAAAGTCTTGGAGAGAGACTATCTCCATAGATATCTTGGAGAGAGGGGAAATGCAAGTCAAACCATCCCTTCTTATAATAAGAATATCCAGCTATCGCTTTCTATTTTGACATCCAACTTGGTAGGATGTCTGGCTGGTTGGCTAAGTGACCTAGGTTGTAGAGGTGAAAGCTTGTTCCCCAAACTCTTCAGGAAAACATTCTTTGTTCTAATGCAGTGTTTCCCAACTTTAGCAACCTAATAGCATGCTGGCTGAGGAATTCTGGGAGTTGGAAGTACACACATTTTAAATTTGCCAAGGTTGAGGAACACTGCTGTAATATTTCACAAGCTACCATCTGCTGGTAGATGCTAGTCTGGCATTTTATATCAAGGGTGCTCTGAACATAATTTTATTTTTTAAAAAGAAGAAATACATGTTTGTGGACTTTATGTATACTGGCAAGCTTTTTTTAAATGTATTTAATTTTGTAATGTTTTATTAATGACTTTATTTACCAGATATTTACTCAAATAAATGCCACAAATTGAGATGTTGTTATGTATATGTTAACTGTTGGTAAAAAAACTGGAACATGAAGGTGAAAAAGCTATTTTACATTTGGGAAGGTAACTTAACAACTTCATAAACTACTGTATATCCACAGTGTTTCCTAAGGAGTTGACACAGATACACCCTTCAACAGCTTTCCTCTGTTTTCAGAATTATTTTTAAATGATAGTTATCAATGGCAAAATTTCATGAAGAGGAGTGTGTTTCCCAAGCACATTGTGCTTTGTTTCAGTATTGTGAGTTACATAAAGATACGTAAAACAGTGATCTCCAAACTTGGAGATCTGGGAGTTGAATTCTGGGAGTTGAAGTCCACAAGTCTTAAAGTTGCCAAGTTTGGAGACCTCTGATGTAAAACCTTTCTTCTCCTCGCTTGAGCCAACTCATGTCCCACGTACAGTACTTCCCTGAAAGAATTGTGAAAATACGTTTTATTTCACTCTCTGCATCTTGTTTGAATCTGATAATTTTACTGAAATGCTTTTGGAACAGTTAATAGAAATAACTGGAGAAAAATGACATACAACATCCTTCAGAATGAAGAATGCTAAGTGGTATTTAAAAGATTATAAAGAATTAGCTATCTAGATCAGTTGCTGAAGTGTTGTTTTATGACCTTGATTATTTTAATCCTGAAATAGTTACAGATGAATTTTAACAGATGTTCCTGACCTATAAATAGTAATTAGTATAATTACACTTTTTCTTACAAATACTCACTTAAGGTGGGAAGGAGGTGGCAATATTGGGGATCTGTCACATTTAAAAGGTGAACAAAAATGTTCTTGCTATGTTTAAGTTGATGGGAATGGATACCATTTGGCCAATATGAGATTTTATTCTAACTTCATAATACTTGCATTGTTCTAAAACAAGAGAGGAATTAGAGAGAAACTTTTCCACTTCTTTTTTAAATGGTATAACATTATTAATTAAATAATTCATTAAAGATCACCATATGCAGGGCAACTATATGCACTTTCACCATAGTGTTTCACTTAAAAGAGGCTTGAAGTAACTCCATAGTAGTCTTCATTTCTGGGACTGTCAAAAGCCCCATGTACAGTGCAAACGATGATGTAAGAAAGACCCAGTGTAGTGTTGGTCTCAGAGGAACAAAAGTCCCTTCACACCACTCCGCATAAAAGGGAAACAAAATGCTACCACTTCCACTCCGTATCCTTAATTTACCCTATGTGCGTTGGCGGTCATATACAGCGATAATAAAGAAATCTCTGATAATTTGCTTAGAGGCAAATGAAGGGTGGGGAGGGCAAAGGTTTCCATGAATGGAAGAACAAATTGTCCCACAAGTTCAGCAAAACTGCAGCAGTATAAAGGTTTTGCTTTAGTTTCAGATGTAACACAGGAACGAGAGCAAGCAAATTTGATTCTTGAACAACACTGATAAAAGTGTAATCACAGATTCCAATCCAGTACTGTCTCTGATAGTAGGGAGGTAACTTCACATCTTCAGTTATGCTCACGCAGGTATGTATCTTTGCTGTGTTTTTATTATTATTATTAAATACAAAGGGGGAAGAATCTAATTAAAAACACCTTCAAATGGAGAAATGATGATTGTATATGTCTAGTGGAGAAGTTTTTTTTTCTGTTGACAATTTTTGGGTTCTCGTCTATATTCCTAAATGCTTCTCCCCAGCCTCTCAAAATCTTCTACAACCATGTAAGGTTAGATAGACAAATGTAAGGTTAGATAGACATCTTACATGAACACAAGACACTGTTTGGACTTGAAGAACACGAGGCAGAAAGAAGATGCTAGTTTTATTTTCTATGGCTTCTTTACATAAGTAATCCCATCCAGAATCAAGACTTTTAGTGCACTTTTCCTCGTAATGGGTAGCTTGATTCCTCATGGATTGGCTGCCTTCCACTGATGATCTGATTACAGGTGTTCTAATGGGGAACCCTGCTGAGGCAAGAGATGGAGTTGGAGGGGTTTTGAAAAAGATCTACCATTCAGAAGGGAAGGGATTTTGTTTTTATCATCTGGCAGCAAAGTAGGAGCCTCAATAATCATACCCTGCCTTAATCTGGGCTAGAAATGGAACTTTTATTTCGCTCTATTCACAAATGTTCTTGATGGATAAGTAAATCTGGAGTGGAGCTAAATTATTATTTGGGTGATGGGCAACTAGAAATGGGCATTTTTATTTAGTTCCATTCACAAACGTCTTGTTTGGCTAAACAGATACGGCGTTGAGCTAAATTATTATTGGGGCTTTGAGCAACTTTCTTGTTTTTAACGACATTTTATTTTTTATTTTTTTAAAGTAAAAGCGGTACTATTTGGGGCAGCCTACAAAATGAATGTGATGGCAGCGTTCCTTGTGTTGGAATAACTTGGAAACATTTGTTGCCCAATGTGCACGAGAGAACAGAGAACACAAAGCAATTGTTCAAACATGACAAAGGGTTTTACTTTTAATTGTCCAAAACTTTGAGTCACATCTATGGTGAAATGTAAAAATCCCGTATCATTGGCTGAAAATCCATACTTCATGTCCTGTTCGGTGCCAAATACAAACCTAGTGAGGTTTGAATGCTTTTAATTGCGCAGTACCACCATGACAACAGCTTCCTCTTATGAATATGTTTCTGGAAAGTTTAGTGTCACTATCAATTCCCTCTTACAGTAAACTGGGAAGCTGCTAAAAAGCAGCGTCTGTTCCATTCGCCTTCTGGAAGCATAAAACGGTTAGTGTTGTGGTTTATACTCCTCCAGATTACACATGCTGAAAATTCTTGGCCTGCACAAAGTATCAAATTGGATTTAAAATAATTCCTTGGCTGGTTTCCTGCTCAAGTGGAAGGGACTGGATTCTTCCCTAGAGCCACAGTGTAGCTTGGATTTCGGGGCTACTGTAAAATGGGAGTTGAATTAAAGCAGAGGTCTCATTGTAATGCACCTCTGCTATGCCATGTGGGAGGGTGGAGTGGCTTTTGAATAGCACACTATTAACTAAAAAAGCATGGAAGCTGACTTTAAGCCAGAGAACTGGCATCAATGAAGACATGCCTGACCCCCAAATATAACTCACATTTGCCTTCCAAAAATGAGAAGCCTATTAAATTTAAACTTGGATAGCAATGAATATACTCAGAAGACAATTCTTTTACTTGCGATCTCTCTCTCTCCCTCCCTCCCTCCCTCCCTCCCCCCTCTCTCTCCCTCTCTCCCTTCCCCCTCCCTTCCTCTCCTTCCCCCCCCTCACATAAGGCAAATTAGTCCAAACACTTGAACCCATTTTGGTATTTCTTCTGAAGAATCCTGCCAGATGGTTGAGCTTTGGCACAAGGCCATCTTTATAGCTACCAGTAGTGATACAGCTAGTCCTTGACTTACGACCACAATTGAGTCCACAATTTCCATTGCTAAGCAACGAATTGTTGAGTTTTTGTCCCATTTTATGACTTTCTTGCCACAGTTGTTAAGTTGGTAACTGTTAAGGAAATCCAGCTTCCCCATTGACTTTGCTTATCAAAAGGTGATGACACTGCATGATACGGCAACTGTCACATATGCATGCCAATTGCCAAGCATCCAAATTTTGATCACGTGATCACGGGGATACTCAGGGGTGGGATTCTCCCAGTTTGGACTGGTACGGGGGAGCTATGATGATCAGCTGCCTCCAAAACGGTTCAATGTGACAGGGCTTGCCCACTCACACCTGCGCTGTACTCACCTATATCTCCTCAGTTGATTCGGGCGGCAGAGCAGATTGTCACGCCTCAGCTGTGTTACTTCCCTGAAGTAACATTGAAGGTAAGTAATTGCGATAGCTGTGCGAAGCACACGATTAGCAAACCGGTTGTTACACTGGGAGAAAGCTACCCCTGGGGATAATGCAGTGGTCATAAGTATGAAAAGCAGTCATAAGTGTTGTTGTATCTTCGAACAATCACTAAACAAATGGTCACAAGTCAAGGTCTACCTAATATGTGTTAATTTGAAAATTTTGGCATCTTCCTGGCTATTTAGCCTGTTAGATGTCTTATCACCTTCTCACTGGAGCAATGGAAACCTGTAGAGTTAAGAACAACCTCTGAAATTATCCTGGGGTTTATTTTCCCTGTTGAAGAGATAATAGACCCAATATCTACAGAACGTCTGATTTTGATACATTCATTTCTAAGACTATAATTGTTAGTTCAAACCAACGTTACTATGTTATGGGTATAGCCCAGGATAGGTCACATTTTGGCAGCAAAAGTTTAATTTTATAACTGTTTCAACTGCTGTGCTAACTTTGAAAGTGGCACAGCGGTTCAGGAAAAACTGAAAGAATAAGAACAGAAGTAGCTTGTACTCCCCAGGAGTTTATATCACCTCTTCTTCTGTTTGTCTTTAAAATGACACAAAGAGTCTTTGCTTTTGCACTACTCTGCATGGACTACCGGAGGGAAATTGTTGTAATGGAAGGAAACATCTGGGATCTCCTAGCCCAGGGGTGTCCAACCTTGATAATTGTAAGACTTGTAGATTTCAATTTCTATGCTGGCTGAGGAATTCTTGGAATTGAAGTCTTAAAGTTCTGGACTTCAATTCCCTTGTTCTAGTCCAATGTTTCTGAGCTTTGGCTTCTTTAAGATGAGTGGATTTTCAACTCCTACAATTCCCTGGTTGGGATTCTAGCCTACTGCTTCCCACCTCTTTTCTTGGCTGCCTGATTATAAAAAGGGATCACCGATGTTCTATTCTAGTTGCCAGCATTTGGCTTAGTGCCTTAATCCATAGACGTTCAATGCATATTGCAGTGCATTGCACAAACTGTACAAGCACTCTGTGCATTTGCTTTTCTAAGAGTTCCAGCAGACCAGGCAAAGTATTTTGACTTTTGTGGTGTCAAAGCAGGGGCAGATAAACCAAGAGTAAGTTACAAAGGCCAAAGCTTTTAACAAGGGATTCTCAATTTATAATTTGTAATAAACAAAGGAAGTAAGTATGGAATATTTA